CCCCAAAACCCCAAAACCCCAAAACCCCTTCACTTAATATTATAACCAAATATTAAAATAATAATAATAATAGTTAAATCAAAATGAAAATAACAAATTTAAGTCAGTCCACTCAGGATGGAGATCTATTCCTAATTCAAGTTCAAAAAGTAATACTACTATTATTTTACAAATCTAGGTTACTATTCTATACGGCTCCACCTTAAAGCTTTCGAGCATATTGAACTACTTGCCTGCGCATTTCAACTTCCCAGAGGACGATGAATTAGATGGTTTGGCTTCTAATTCTGACAGAAACTCTCCAAAATCTTAAAAGAGATAAAAGCTTCAGGACAAGGAGGAGTAGTTTGCCTAACTGCTGCAGCCACTTAATATTAACGATTGTGACTTCGAGTCTTTTCCCAATCCAGATATCTTGCAACCTCAGAAGCCGTTTACTAAGCTCAAATATACATCTCAATCTAATGCTACAGATGGTCTCCAAGCCAATACTAATAACAAGTTGTATAAGAAACTAGACGGCAGGTACTTCATTGACAATGAATCTATTAAGTTCGAGTTAAGGAAGTTAAACATAGTGCAGCTCAGTGACATTGACATAATTCTGGTGTGCAACTTCAATGATATCTATGGACTGCCATTCATCACCAGACTCCAGTCTCAGTTCATGGGGAAGATATACATGACTCTGCCAATGGGTTAGATTGGCTAGCAGCTATTGAAGGAATTTGTGATCTAGAATGACAACAGAAATTTGACTAAAGATCTAGGGAGCAAGGACTCAAGTTACTTTAAGCATGAGAAACTCAGGGAGTTATTCAAAAGATAGGGCATCGATGAGTGGCAGGATTTATATACATATGCAGATATTGAGAGATGCTTTACTGATTATGTCAAGTTGCTAAACTATAATGAGTCATTTACCTTTGATAATCTTATCAAAATGACACCCTTGTCTAGTGGATTGCATCTAGGCTCATGCAACTGGCTATTGGAGATTGGTCAGCACAGAGTAGGCATTCTTAGTAATTCATCTGAGGAGGGAGATTTCAGATACCCTCTGTACTTTAATGTGGAAGATTTATTTAAGAACTTGGATGTGCTAATTGTTGGTTCAATTTTGAAGTAGCAAAATGACTAACTTTTCTTTTGGCAGCAGAGTAAATTATTCTATGAAAAGTTGAATAATTGCCTTAATAGCTCTCTGAACGCTAAAGTCTTGCTTCCAGTCCAGCCTACCTTTATCCTCGAGATAATTGACATATTGATTCACAAACTGACAAATGTTAGAATAATCTTCATCTCTGAATCAGCTGACTAGATTATGCAGTATGCAAACATCAGTGTTGAGTATTTGAACCAAAAGCTTTAAACTAAGATTCAGGGTTCTGAGAATCCTTTTCAATTCGAGAAGCTTCTCAATGATGACAGAATGCAGGTGTTCAGCAATATAGAGCAGTATCTTGAACATAAAAAGGAGAAGCAGCTGATGAATGGAGGCATCGGCTCTTTTGATGAGTTTTCAAAGGAGATCATCATCACGAGTCATCCGAGTATGAGATTAGGTGAGTCTAGCTACTGGCTTAATCACCTCAACAAGAACAATCAGTCTCAGAGTTTTATGATCTTGACTGATAGCTAATTCTGCCACGATGAACTGCTGATGAAACCATTTGCTAAGGCTAATAACGTCAAGGTACTCTACTCACCCATCGATCCAAATTTGACCTTCACACAGCTCAACAATATTCTCAATAAATTCAAACCTAAAAGGCTGATATGTCCTGCTTCTTATACCCGTGAGCAGAAATCTGTGGGCATTGATCAAGCGAACTTCAAAAATGCCCTAATTATCTAGGATCTCGAAGGCACTGTAGTTAACACAATAAAAGAAAGCATGACTGTTTGTCTAACTGATGATGACATAGGCACTCTGAAGTATAAGGGTCTGTGTCCAACTTTAATAGCAAATAAGATAAAGATTAAGAATAAAAACCAACAGAAGATTTCAAGAGTTCAAGGCATCGATATCGAGTTCAAGGATAATTAGTATACCATAGTAGATGTAGTCTCAGGATAAGATCAGACTGAGCAAAAGTAAGCTCTGAGCCTTTATAGCAAACTACTTGAACTCAACCAGTCTAAGTAATCAGATCAAAGGTAAAATTCTGGCTAAATTTAGCAATCAAAAATAAGCAATAATACTAGATTGATTAAGGTGAACTCCTTGATCCCACTGGACAAGAGTTTGAACTAGCTGAGAGTGACACTGCAGTAAAGTGGATTTAAAAATCATCTGGAGGAACTAGAGGATTTAGGAATAATTAAGTTAGAGGAGTATGATTGCTAGATTAGTGTTGATTATAGAGAGAGATGTATAAGTGTAGAGTGTTAAAATGATTTCTAAGTCATGATTAAAGTTAATGATACAATCAAGAAAACTCTCAAGTTGATTTGATATTTTGTTTAATTAAAGTTTTATTATTGACTTAATACTATTAAGATTGAATTACGGGGTTTTGGGGTTTTGGGGTTTTGGGG